GGGATCTTTTAAGGTCGTGCCCATCACGCACAAAGTGCTTGCCACAAATGAACCACAATACCTTGCTGATCTCGTCAAGGAGCCTATACCATCACGCAAACTGCGGTCATCCTTGCAGCCGCTTTTGGCGAACAATTGAACAAAGACGGTCACTTCATCGCGCGCTTTCAGATGTGCTTCTGCGATCGTCCGGAACGCTCTTCCCTTCCTTATTAGGAAGCTGCTGGTGCCAAGCACTTTTAAATCTAGATTGGAAATTCATGTATTTTTTCAACTGCTTTTTTTGTTTTTCCTTTGTCGCCCTTCCCTCCGCACCTCTGACGAGCAACGGTTGGCTACATACACACGGTGTGAAATAAGTGCAACATACGTACACAATTTCGATTTAAAGCTTTCGTGACTGCAATGATTCATCTTCTTTGGTTCTTTCGGTAAAGTCACGTGATGAAGGCCGCTTGTGTTGTGGCCGAAACGTCGTGAGAATATTATTGTGTTATTTTATTTTATCAATTTATTATTTTATTCTCATTCTACGTGACTTTACCGAAAGAACCAAAGAAGATACGTACACAAGTTGCACCAGGCTTCACTCTGCTGGCCAACACAGCTCGGTGGTAGAGGTTGGGGGGCAATACCAGCTCACGTATTCGCTCTCAACGGATGTCAGCCGTGCTCGAGAATTAAACCCCAGGCTCATGGGGCAGTACTGTATACTATGCCACCTCTTCCACAAGTAAATTATAGGTAAGGGTGCAGCCCTACAATTTCCTGCTTATGTCACCGCTCGCAGAAGGGCCTCCATTTAAAGATGGCTCTAGAGAGCCCCTCTAGAAAGGGATTTGGCCTACTATTTCACACTGACCAGGCGTCTCGGGAAAGGTGGGAGTACCCACGCTTTACCCCACTACACCGTGACCTTTTGATCTCTGCGGTGCACTCATTTATCCTGCCGGGCGGACAGAGACGGTGGAGGAGGAGGGGGGGGGTCGGCATTTAAGAAACTCACCATTTGTTTCAACTGCTGCGGCGGGGGATTGGAACCGGCAACCTCTGTATGTTGAAATTCTTTCCCACCATACGTGGCCAACCGTGCTAATCGGAGGTACGGGGGAAGGACAACAAAACCTCTGGCGGGAAAGCCCAGTGTGCTACCGAATACATCGCAGCAGCAGCAGCAGCGTCCGGAACTCTACACGACTGCATCGAGAGAGAGAAAACAAGAATGATGAGGCATCACTATATCTCATCGCTTGTTGTCCGATTAGCACGGTTGGTTATGTACGGTGCAAAATACGTTCAAGGTGCATACATACAATACATAAGTAGATAGCTAGATTTATGTGGTTCCAGGACTTGGGTGCCTCATACGAATGTGTTTGAAGCACTTTCTCCCAGCTGGGGATTTGGCCAACTGTACAATAGCGGCACATTCAGTCTAAACTTAGAGCCGCACTGATTATCCTGGCTCATACCCAGCTCATTAACAAGCGATATCCCGTGCGGACCCTCCGTTAAGCTTCACCCGTGTAGTCAAACAGCTGTACATTTCTTTATCGTTTGCCCAATGCTATAGGCTCGATGTAACTTGTTGTTGCGAGTGCTTGTATTCCCATCCACCTCACTTGATATGCATACTGTATCACCTCGTTATTCTATGTTCTGGAGATGAATAGCAAATTTTGCTCACGAAAACCGATCGTTTTCATCAATTACCCAAAAAAAAAAACGTAAATAAACTATTAAATACATAATAAATATAACGTAAAAAAATATTAAAGTATTAAATAGTACTTTATAAATGAACTTTACCTCTGAATAGTACGGTGTGAAAGAAGTTCAACATATATACATGCTGCACTTCACATTCTCTCTCATCACTTTATCTCATCACTTTCTCTCTCTCGATGCAGTCGTCGCAGAGTTCCAGATGCGATTCGCGGGCAGCCAAAATCGCGGAGAGCAAGTTCGCGAATATGGAGGGAAATTGCCGTATCTCAGTTGAGACGTTTAATCCATTCGCATTGGCCATTGTTCCTCGTTGCTCTCTCCCGTTTACGGGAACGCCCAGGCAGTCTCTCCTCGCCAACCTCTGTGGTGTAGTATGGGATTTGTATGCCACACACAGACACACAGTGCCGCTCATCCCTATTCATGACTGCATCGTCTGTGGACAGCCAGGGTGAATCCAACGTAAGTATGTTGAACTTCTGTTGCACCGTTCAAAGCCAACCGTGCTAATCGGACGTGGAACCAGAGTGGTGCTGAGGCAGTATTGGAGATTCCACTTTTCTATCGTGGGTATCAGACTTCTCCATAGGACTACTGCTGTTAATTTTACACAAAATATTCAAATAAAACATTGTTCTTACTTCCAATCATGCCACCCCCCTCCCCCCAGTTTGTGCCCAATTGTGCCCTCACTCAGTAGTTCGAATCGAGAACGGTTTACGGAAAGAGATAAAACAGAGCTACCTCTGAGATCCCTTCAAATGATCTTTGAGCCACACGGTAGAGGCAGCACTTTCCTATCCGTTCTGGGAGAGTTGCATGGCAGTCACTCCATTATATACACATTATAAAAGTCTCAGAGCTGGAATTTGGCCAAATCAAGTGAAGAACCAAATGTAATGTGATGGGTTTTATTTGCACAAGTATTGGTGTCTAGGCTGAAAACATCAACTCACTAAACGTAAGAATCTGTTTTAAGTTTTGAGCAACTGTCTGAATTTTTAACCCCAGAATCTCAATCGTGCCGGCTCAGTGATCTGACTTCTGACCCACCTGGCCATCAAAGGACGAGAAAAAATTGTCACCCAAATTTGATGACTTAAGTTCACCCCAACCGCTTCATTCTCAGGTGCTTAGAAGGTTAGGTGCTCTGTTAGCAGTGCTGCCAATTCCGCGGTGGGTCACCTTCCTGGGTGCAGAGGCATTCCACCACTTGTATCTATAATTTGCATGTGAGTGGGTTAAATCAGTCAGGTTTGTCTAGTATACAGCAATTGATTATCCGTCTGCTTCTATAATCAGTTCGTCACGCGATTCATTAGTTTCATGGGTAAGAAAAAGCATCCCATAGAAAGGAACACAACCAGGTTTGATAAAAAAAAATACACACAATATCTTGACCAACCTGCAATTTTTTTTTGGTTTTTAGATCTGCAAAGTGTAAGCGGAACAAGATTACGCAATTACGTGGCCATGAATAAGTAAATGCAGTACTCGCTCAATGCGTGCAACCAACGAATTCGCGCTCACTTCATTCGTCACGCCTGGTTCGTGGTAGCGGCGGTTTGCAAAACCTGGCACGGGTGGGCCGCGTGTGCGTGGGACTGGACCACATCGGGGTCCCTCTCAGAAAACTGATTGAGCCGATGAAGACATCTTCACTGCGATCACTTACAGAAAGATGGGAAAAAAAACTGGCAGAAAGAGGAGGACTAACGACTCACACAGGGCGGTGTCCATTCAATCGACCTAAGTTTTACTATTTAAGGGTGTGCTTGCTACCCAGTGTTTGGTGATAGAAAACATTGTACATATCAACTGCCTCCGAATGTACCAGTGTTTGCAAAGTGCCACATTATAAGGTGATTTATACAGATATAAGTTATTCGGAACGTTATGTTTACCCTCTCGCTCTGTTCCTAAAAAGACCATTGCCTTATACATTCGCCTGCCGATATATATGTGTGTTGGTATGCATCTCCTGAATAAAGTGACTCAGAGAGAATGGGTGCTGACAGGACTTGTGCTAACAGAGGCAAGCAAGGCAATGTTCTTCAATAATATTATGGAAGGTCAAATTGAGGAAGTGGATCCTCTGAGGTGGCTCTGATGTAGATGGATTTAAATAGCAGTGTAGGAGGCACTGTAGGTGATTATCACAAAGTAAAGAGAAGCACCAACGACTAGAAGTATAAGTAAGCGTGACTGCCGACGTTTGGATCGAAGACCACACGACATGATGATGACAATAATGATGACAATAATGATGACGGCCGTGTTCATTACAGTGGTGGTGGTGGTGCTTTAATCGTTGTGCTCGTTCCACCACTGCCACTGTGATGTCCTTACATTTTATTACAATTACATTTTATTACAATTGTGCAGCTAATAAACGGGTGCTTTGAGGCAGGAGTGGCGTCTATTAATGTACGGAACAAGAAAACGAACTGAACTTTAACAACAACAAGCGGCAAGAAAATTACACGCTGGCCATTGAATTCAGGTGCATGCCACAGAGGGTGCTCGTATTTACCTAAAGAAAGACGAAAAAACAACTTGCGCCTAGGGAGTAGAGCATATTGGCAAGTGAAATGTAGCCAACAAGAAGAAGAGGTTGTGATGACTGGGAACGCGTGCGGCTGGATGGAGTGGGGCAAGTTACTGAGACAGGCAATTGAAAAGGGCACCAAGAGGTCAGCGATGAATTTTTACTCTTTCGGTAAAGTCATGTAGATATAGAAAAAAAGAAAGTTAATTAAAACAAAAAAATAATGAACATAAAATAATAATAAAACAACAAAACAAACATCAATGTACTACAGTCTACATTAGTGGTTTACTACAGTTTACATTAGTGTTTTTGTAGTTGTTTATTTTATTATTTTATTTGTAATTATTTTTTATTCACTTTATTTTTTATTCTTATTTTTCTATCTACGTGACTTTACCAAAAGAACGGAAGAATATGAATAGGTCAGCGACGAAGCGGAAGGCCCTGAAGGCAGCTGGCGGTGAAGCGACTAAGAGGGCGTGGACCTGGCAGATCGCGAGTCCATGGCACAACAGCAGCAGGCAGCGATGGTGAGGTGTGCACTGCTCATCGGCAATATTGACCGCGACGACGCTCGACGTTTTGCTTTGAATCTAACAGACACGTACCACGTCAGCATCGTGTGAACGATTGTTTAACAACAACAACAACAACAACACAAACAACCACAACAAAAACAACCACAGCAACAACAAAAGCTTTTTTGTGGACAACGACTCACAGAGCGGCGAGCACATCTTCTGGCACTCCTCCAGAGACTGGAAGTGGTTCCCGTTGCCACCGCAGCCGCCGTACAGAAACACGTTGCACACCCTCTGCGTGCTGTTGTAGTGCCACCTGAGCAGGTGAGCCAGGCAAACGCCTTTGTCCGGGGGAAGGATGCACACCTTGTCTGCACGAAACAAGGACGTGTGTGTGAGAGAGAGAGAAAGGCAGGGGTCACGTCCAATTCACATTCAGGTGGTCAAGCCAGACAACCGCGGAGTTGTAATATTGCTGTGATGTCTCCTTCGTGTTTGTGCATCGGGCATCGCGTCGTTAGATGGTGTACGGTCTGTTCCGGATGATAACAGTCGCACACTGGGCAGTTTTTAATTTGTGCATCAGATTATCGTGGTAGTTGCTTTTTGTTGAAAATAAAGAGCCTAAGTATCTCCCTGTTCAAACATGCCTGGAGTGGAACTCGTCCAATTGTGGCTTTTTCACAAAGTGGTACAACTTTCAATGAGCCCAGAGGGATGATGGGCTTATTCGACTCCCGACCAGGATTTGAACGAGCACGCGCCCAAATGCAATCGTTCTACTCGCAATGCGATATGTCTGGAGATTGATTTCAATTGCCAGAGCCACAAAGCAGTGACAATGTCACGTCAATCAGGGCATCATATTGAGAGAATATGCAGGGAGAGCTAAGCCAAAGCCTCTCACCAAAGAGGGTGAGCATACTTCTTTGGTTCTTTCGGTAAAGTCACGTAGAATGAGAATAAAATAATAAATTGATAAAATAAAATAACACAATAATATTCTCACGACGTTTCGGCCACAACACAAGCGGCCTTCATCAGGTGAAGGGAGCGAGACTGTCTGAGCATAATCTCATCACCAGCCCGATATGTGTTGCATTTTTTTCTTTGCTACACTTTCCAATAAATTACATTCCCAGGGGGAGGGGGGGGCATTTTCTGTCAAGCGTAGGTTAATGCTATAAAAGACGTAAATATTTACTTTTAATCAGTGCAAGTACTTTCAAATCAGCCACCGCCCATTTAAAAGCGGGTCCACAAGGTGAGCAGATGTGTGATTAAAAGATGAACATTTTAACATAATATGCTTCATCTGGTGCCACCGTTCATCTCGCTCCTGTGCATGAGCTGATGTCCCCGCCTTATCTACGTCACGGCCGTCCTCTCGGCTGTGTTCTCCGCTTTGGCCACCATTCCATCACAATGTTCCGCCCATCGATCATCATCCCTTCTGGAAACGTATCCTGCCAAAGCCCACTTGCTTTCCTCGACAGTCATAACGATGTCTGTAATTTGTTCTCGAATATTGGCGTTTTTCTGTCTCAGTGTGACTTCACGTTCAGTGTGATGGGTAGGTTTACGGGATTGCATCTCTCCGTGCTTTCTTTTGCACAAGGTTCAGATTGTGTCCACGTTTCTGATCCACGTCATCGTGGGTAATATGCACCGGTTGAAACATTTCTCCTTCAGGCACGTTGATATATTGCTTTTAATTCTAGCAGTGAGGTACATTCATTAGTAGATCTAACAATTTGAATTATACACACCAAGCATTATCAATATATGGGTGGATTTTGTTTTTGCTTCATCCCGACAAATTATACTCAGTTGTGCTATTGGCATCATGCTTTGAGATGAAGACATTTCGCAGCGAGCAGTGCACCACATTCTGTCAGAGATTGACTCCAGAAGACAATGCTTTGGAACTACTTCTGAAGTCCATTCAATAGGCTTCATTGTCCACAATAGGGACACAGCTTTTGCAAGCCCTGGAAAGAGTGTTCATCACATGTCAATCAAAATTATGTTCGTGCAGTCCTACTGTGTGCACCCCCGAGTATGGAGCAAGTGGATAAGCCGAAGTTAAACACCGCATTTATATTGATGGGGTGTTTGTAGCTGTGCTGAGGCCTGTGCTCAAACCATCGACTTGCTACGTTAATCACAAGTGGCTTAAAACAATAGAACTCAGCCTCTTGGTCGTTCAGTATTCTGACAATATAAGCCACCCGAGCCACTCAGTCATCTACATTGTTTTATATATTTGTGTGTATGCAGAACTTCTTTTGCACCGTATGTAACCCACCGTGCTAATTGGAAGTGCGAGATTTACCACTAAACTTTGCCAGTTCAGCACGAATTTACCACTGTTCCTGGAATTATTTGGAGGCACAGAGTGTATGGGCTCATATCATTCGACTTCTTGGGCTGTACAAATGATTGTCATGATGGAGGCCTTGTGATTTAGGGGCCAGAGAATTAAGCCTGCACGAGTAAGATTCTGTGATTGAATAACGGGTTTCAGCTACCGGAATTCTCTCAAGTGTAGCGAGATGATGGTCCTCACGCGGTAAACAATCACTGCGTTAATGTAGATTTTCAATTCGTTTGGTTAAATGCCAGCTCTAAGAATCTAAAAAAAACATTGGTAGAACTGGCATGGGATAAACATCGCTGTTTGAAGGGTGTTTGGGAAAGTACTCTCTCACGCAGGTGCATAAACAAAGTCACTTACATAAAGGAAATTTCATAAACAGTTCTAAATAAAAATACATTCCAGCGATTCTCAATCCATCAATTGGCGAGATGTTAACTACCTCGCATGGTATGCAGGAGGCTGTGGGTCCGATCCCGTCACTGACGCCTGTTTATTTGGAGTTTGCGTGTTCTCCCCGTGGTCGCGTGGATTTTTCTCCGGGTCCTCCGGTTTTCCTCTCCATGTTTAGAATCAACATCACGCGTTTAGAGTATTTGGCTGCTATACATTGCCACACCGCCTAGTCACTTCGTTAAGCTGTCATTTATGGCCAGGTCACTTCTGTAAAAAGAGCTGTATAGCTCAGTGGACCTTACCTGGTAAAACAATTATAATTAATTGATAAAGGCCTCCCAAAGCAGTTGCCCTTTTTTTTTGCAAAAGGCCGTTCTCTGGCACATGTTGGCCGCTGTGCTCCGCGAGCATTCTAAATTGTTTCTTCATCTCACGACACGATGGAATTTGGTGGTGGGTGGAGGGGGGGGGTGATAATAATGGAACAGTGCAAAGACGCTTGTTACGTATGCTGTAGACTGCCAAAGGATGCTTACCTCCGGCAGGGTACAGCTGGATCACTCGCTTAGAACACGTCTTCATGCAGTCGCGAAACCGAGTGAAGCGATTGGCATTTCCGCCGTTGCCCTTGTAGAAGAAGGGCAGGCAAATGTCATCCTGTACCTCGTAGTAGAACTTCAGCGCCCGCTCTACATATTCGACGGCCGTCCCTTCATCGGCCAAATGATTGCAGCTGGGATCTGCGATTGGAAATCGGGGGGGGGGGGGGGGGGGAGGAAGTGGTTGGTAGCGGTCGGTTAAAAAGAAAGGGGAAAGGGAAAGAAAGACGATGATGAGATAACAACACGCCGATGTGTTTACAGCGCGCAACGTGATTCATTGTCATGGCTACATGATGTTTTCACGATATGGCTTCCTCCAACAAGATCTGCTCACTCAGGCAGCATTTATATACTGTAGCTCGTTTTAGGTCGACCTAAAAGGGATTGAAACTCTGAGACAAAAAAAGTGTCGAGGCAGTCTCTGTGTCCTAAAATGAGCAAAGGGATAGGCACATATCTCCACCGTAAGGTTCTAAGAACTTGGGATAGTAGACGATGTGAGAAGGATTCCAAAGTGGAGCAGTGCGATGGGAAGGGGCAGAAAGGAAACGTTTTGATCTGCAACTGCGGTGGTGGTGGTGGACACGTCGTGGATGAGGCAAAAGAGTCAGTCTGGTGAACCCGAGTCCACATCGCGCGCGTAGGAATCAACGAGTGAGGTTAACGGGGACAGTAACCGTGGCAGTAGCGATAGAAGAGTGAAGAGGAGGTGAGCGAGTGACCCAAGTGAATCAGTGAATGCTGCCTCTGCAGCCTATGCAGCCCACAAACTCCAACCAACTGGAATTTGAACTGGTGCCCTTGCAATTGTCAATCGAGTGGCACGAGTGGGAAGTGTCGGCGGGTGAAACGACGCCAATCACGCATGGGAAAGGTTGGAAACGTCGCCGGGGGGAAAGAATCGCCACTGCCACAGCACACGGAAGCCCCCGAGATTACGAGTGGCATCAGAGATTGTCGCCACGACGCCCACTCAAAGGGAGCTCAATTATCTCACCGAGACAGCGAAGTCATTCAATTACACCCAACTTTCATCTTCACGACGTTTAGATAAGGGTTCGGCGGCAGCCGCGTTACGTAACCGCATCTTTTGTTGTTGTTGTTGGCAAAGATTACCCCAAGCCGACGCGGTACAACGAGCGGCGGCAGTGATGGACGAACAAAAAAACAACAACAACCACAACAACGAAAGATTTGTCAGACAGGGAAACAAAAGCGAGACTGGACGTTCGCCGTCACGCAGGACCCACCACGGGGCTTGCATCGCGAGCGGCACAGTCCGTGTCCCAAGAGGACACCCGTCACCAGGGCCGGATTGAGATTTTGTAGGACCCCTGGACTACAGGTACCGTGACGCCCCACGGTAATATTTTCAAAAGGAAAACAAAGTTAAAGAAAATTGTATTATTTGCAAGGCTAACAACAAATACAATTCAGCATTCACAAGTGAAATAACCAGTGGGGTGGGGGGGGGGGGCGGGGGGAGTTGCACATGCCCCCCCAATGATCCGATCGAAATCCCTCATTTAGATCGGAGCCTTGGGGTTTATTAGTAATAATTCGGCATTTTGCGACCCACACTGCCACTATGTAGCATATTATTACGTGCCAAGGACGCTATGAAATGATAGGACAATGGTCTGAGTCCAAAATTGCCAATAAGTAACGGGAAAGCAGTTATAAGTGACTCAGAATTGTGCGCAGTTGCATATACAGAGGACATGACTTCCCTGAAGACATCAACACCTTCAGCGAGCGCGATGCCGATCACACAACGCGGTTCGAATTCGACCCTCGATCGATGGCTCCGCCATCGCCGCACACGTGTCGAATAAACAGCAAGGGACAAGTCCTTACTTACTAACAACTCCTCTATCATTTATCATTGCTGGAGGGGTTGCCCCCCTCCTACCTGAAAATCCTGGCCCTGCCATTGTCTGGAGGCCCTCCAGCTGGTGGAGGCCCCTGGGCTGCAGCTACCTAAGGCCCCGTGCCTTAATCCGGCCCTGCCTGTCACACGCGCGGCTGAATAGACCGGGGGGGGGGGGGGGGGGGGGGGGGGGTCATTCCGCTTGCAGCTGGGTCACCCGCGCGGAGCAGGGCGGTTCAATTCCTGCAGCCGCTCGTTAATTTCTGTGGGGAATTAACGGCACGCGCTGCCCGAGGCGTGTGAGCTCTGCCGAACGTGCATCAGCATCGCGCGTCGTCGTGGACTGCATATCAAAATCCCACGTTGGAGAAAATGCCACGTTGTTTATACCTCCCGAGCGGCTACACATTAGCACAAAGACGCCAGAGGCTCGGTGCACGTGGGAGGAATGGATGAGATCACGGCTGCCCATGGTGGAACCGCTTAACCTCTCATTCATATCCTCCCCCACCCCCCCCACCCCCCATCGGCAACAGCCCCACTCCTCGCCCCTGCCACGCACGCCACCTTCACACAGTAACATACTCGGTGGTGTACCAATTTCTAAACTACTCACACATATTTTCCCCGTTTTATATTTAGAAAATGTCTTTGCACAAAACAAGGATCTTTGTGATGGCCATTCGGTCAAAACATTGCTTATTTTCCTGTTTGCGATGTGCTTTTTTCATGATTCATAATCATATATTTTTTATATTTAACTTGTTTTTAAAACCGGGATATCCGATTATTCTAAGAGTCTACAAATTATCAGTTCCATTGCTCGACAAATCGGAAAACACTAACATCGTTGAGGTAATCAAGTCTCGTCTCCGCTTCCACGTGCAGATGCGGGCTTAGTGACGTCGTCATCATCATCATCATACGCGTCACACTGGGTGTAGCTTGAAGGGGGGTTTCCCAACTTCGGGAGACAGGGATGTTGTGGCGGCTGCCATTTTTTAAAGGGGGGTCGAATAAGCGGCCACAACAAAGTAGTTGATTGCGATAATACACTCGCATTTCACCCTTTGCATGAGGCTGCCTACTGAATGTCACCAACATCAGATTGTTTTTTGGCACTCATGACTTATACGACTAATCACCCCAGCTCTAATCCAAACATTCGTAATTAAACGTATGTATGTATTTCCCAATTGTTTATAAGCACAGTGGGTGAGAGCACACCGAGAGTACAAGAAGGGTTTTTTGTTGTTGTTGTTGTTGTTGTTGAAATACTGGGAAAACACAAATGTGTGACCAGAGACGGGGCTGCACAAATTCGTGAAGATAAAAGCGTGCAAGAGTAGTTGACCTACTTACCTGCAGAGTGGAAATGACAACTCGCTTAAATTTAACACGTCAGTAAACATTTGGTCTAACATGTAATTTGACCTTACTTTTAAAGGACGTGTGCAGAGTCAAAACGCAACGGACAACCTGGGATCGAATGCATTCACATTCATGGATGTAAATATGTTGAAGTTATTCGCACTGTGTGTAGCCAACCACAACCGTGCTAATCAGAGGCGCGGGGGAAGGACAACAATTCACGTTGATTGTTAAACTAAACTAGAGGGGGGTAAAGCAGTCTCTCAGGGGCAGTGAGTTGATAAACTAAATATTTTTTGTATTTTACCAAGTAAAACCCACTGAGCTGTATAGCCATTTTTTAGAAGCGACCTGGCTATCACAAATGATAGCTCAACGAAATTGCTTATCACGTGGGAATTTATAGGAGCCAGAGGACCCGGAGAAAAATCCAAAAATAGAACCAGAGGACCCGGAGAAAAATCCACGTGACCATGGGGAGAACCTTCAAACACCACATATACAGGCGTCAAGGTCGGGACCGAACCCACGATCCTCCTGCATACCATGGCGAGGGAGATAACATCTCCTAGCCACTGTGAGATGTGTTATGAGCTCGAATCGCTTTATAAGCTAGAATAGCTTATACGTCTGTTGCTCTTATTTTTACCAATCAGTGACTCAATTTCTCAGGCGTAATTTTATTGACAAGACAGATACTGTCATACAAACTATGCAATTGTCATACCATGTTACACAGTCTCCTCTCAAATGACTCCCACACCATTTCCATACAAAGGGTGTCTTGATCTCTGAAACCTCACCCTGTGCTCTGGTGTGCTACAAGTCCTAATGTTCTTCCCAATCTACCGCCTTTAATTTTGGAAAATCATCTCCAGCATTAACATTGACCAACATTGCTATACTGATGACACCAAACTGTACACCTGCATTGACTGCACGGGGCCCACCTTCACTGACCAATTTCACATTTGCCCTTGACCTGCTCTCATTTTGGATTGGTTCAAACTGTCTCCACCTGCATGTTGCCAAAACAGAAGTCTTACTCATTGGAAAAATGCTTGTTCGAGGCAAATACTCCAATAATCTCTGGAGTTGTCATTAATCCCGATCTCTCGTTCTCATCCTGCGTCACTCAACCTTGCAGGACCTATGCAACATCTCCAACACCTGTCACTTCTTGCCCCATCTGCTGCTGACACATTCATCCACGCTTTCATCGCCTGTTGGGTTGACTATTGCGACTATATCACTTCTAGCGTCTCCCAAAATTCCTCACTTCCAAACTCCGAAAGATCCTCACTCACAACCATAAACAAAACCATATTACCAAAAATACTAATTTCCTTCTACCGGCTTCTCAACCAGTCGTGAATCAACTACACGATATCCGTCATAGCCTTCAAGACCTGTCTCCACCTCCATCTCCCTTTTCGTTTCCCTCGACTTCATCTCACTTGCGCGCTGCTCCAATAACCAAGGCCTTCTCTTCAAACACCCATATCATTCTCGGCTAAATTGGGGGTCTGTAATTTGGTCTGTTGCCCCCATGGTCTGGAACTCCCTTGCTCCTGCCATCCATGCTGCTGATTTCCGACTGGTGTTCAAGTCTAGGCTCAAGGCAGTTTCTCTTCTCTTGTGCTCTTCATCCGCGACTGATGCCTCTCGTCTGCGATAACATTTTAATACATCGGATGCAGACTATCCCAGGTATGTGGTTGTTTCTCCGGGATGTTCATGTCCTGATTTTTTCGCGTAACGCTTCGAGCTGCAACTGTATTTAGACGCCATTCAACATCTCCATTGTACTAAGTGCATTTAAAAAACATATACAGTGAGGGAAAAAAGTATTTGATCCCCTGCTGATTTTGTACGTTTGCCCACTGACAAAGAAATG